AGTATTACCCAGATGTGACTGTGATCGTGGCTGATGATGGCAAGAAGCCCCTGGAAATTAAAGATGACTACGTGGAGTATTATACAATGCCCTTTGGGAAGGTATGTCCCTCTCAGGTCTCGGGGTACTTTGCTCCTTGGTCAAGAGGGCCCCAGAGTCAAGTTCTGCCCTGATGGGGCTACTATAGTGGTCTCCAAAGACAAGAGGAGTCCTGGAGTGGGAGGGCCTGGGGCCTCTCCCTGAGTCCCTTTGCTAACTCCAGATTCAGAAAGAAATCGGGTCACCCTCATATTTCTGCATTAAGAAGTGGTTATTTCATCTTCCTTTATATTTGGTGTGGAAATGGCAAGGGGTCCTTAAAAATAACTTGCCGTCTCTGACATCCCAAGGATTCTTGAAATGTAGCTCCAACAGCAGAGAATTCTCTCTTCCCCACATGCCTTCCTGCATGGGTAAAGGAGGAAATGATTATAGTACTTTTCAGATGTCCCCCAAACTTCACATCTCTTAGGAGGTAGAAAAAGAATCACAGGGATTCTGTGAGGTGAAAAAGTTCTTCTGTCCATTCATGGAGTCCACAAGGCCAGTGAAGACTTTTTTTTTAAATATCTCTATCTTGTTTATTTATTTTTATGTGGTGCTGAGGATCGAACCCAGTGCCTCACATGTGTGAGGCAAGTGCTCCGCCACGGAGCCACAACCCCAAACCCCCAATGAAGACTTTCTAACTTTTCTTTGTCCAGAAAGTCACTCTCTCTTACTGTGTTTCCCTGAGACATGGACTCCCTTTGCCCAGTGCTTTTCAACCTTGGTCGTGTATTGGCTTCACCCCCACAGATTCTGACATAATCCATGAGGGGGTACAGCCTGGTTATTGGGAAGCATCCCCAGCGATTCTCCTTGTTAGCCAAGGTGGGCAACTGCTGATCTAAGCTTGTGCCACTTACAGGGTTGGTTTGCTGGTAGAAACCTGGCCATATCTCAGGTCACCACCAAATATGTTCTCTGGGTGGACGATGACTTTGTCTTCAACAACAAGACCAAGATTGAGGTGCTGGTGGATGTCCTGGAGAAAACTGAGCTGGATGTGGTAAGGGACAGAAGGGGAGGCTGGAGAAAAAGAGAGGAAAGGACACCGAGAGGGAGGGAGGGAGAGAAGCTGATGCCACAGGTGATAGATGAATAAGTCTGCACAGCTCGGGGCCTGAGAGCACTGCACAAGAAACCCAAGGAATCGGGAGATGTGAGTTCTGCTTTTGCCTCCATACTTAACTTTTCTTTGAGCAAATACACCCTCCCCTTAAAATTCACAGTTGTTCTACTTTTAAAATGGTGTGTTTGTGCATCACTTCCAACTCCCTCAGAGGACCTATGGGAGATTAAAAAGAGCCATGCTTTGGTTCTGTCACAGAATAGTTTTTTTAAAAAACAGGGTAAAGCCACCCTTATCTTAAATGCTTGAGACCAGAAGTGCTTTGTAATTTGGATTTTTAAAACTTTTGGAATATTTGCTTTGTTTGGTGCTGGGGATTGAACCCAGGGCCTTGGGCATGTGAGGCAAGCACTCTATCAACTGAGCTACACCCAAGCCCCAACTTTTTGAATATTTGTGTATATACAATGAGATATCTTGGATGGGACCCAGATCTAAATGTGAAATCCATTTGTTTTGTATATACCTTATACATACACATATCCTGAAGATAATTTTATATACTATTTTGGGAGTGAGGGTACCAGGGATTGAACTCAGAGCCACATCCCCAGCCCTATTTTGTATTTTATTTAGAGACAGGGAGGGTCTCGCTGAGTTGCTCAGTGCCTTGCTTTTTGCTGAGGCTGGCTTAGAACTTGAGATCTTACTGTCTCATCCTCCCTAGCTGCTGGGATTACAGGCATGCATAACCATGCTGGCAATTTTATACATTATTTTAAATAATTTTGTGCATGAGGCAAAGTTTCCTGGTACAGAATTTACCATTTGTAGGGTCATGTTGCCTCTCAAATATTTTGGGTTGTGGACCATTTAGGATTTCAGATTTCAGTATTAGGAAAGCTTAACCTGTAGTACAAATTTTAAAAGCCACATGACCCCAGTGGCATTTTAAAAAGAGGAAAATAATAAAAACATCAAAAGTCAATTAACTAGGGCTGGGGATGTGGCTCAAGTGGTAGCGCGCTCGCCTGGCATGCATGCGGCCCGGGTTCGATCCTCAGCACCACATACCAACAAAGATGTTGTGTCCACCGAGAACTAAAAAATAAATATTAAAAAAAAAATTCTCTCTCTCT